GACAGGGAAACACAGTGAGAAACAGAGAGAGAGAGAGAGAGAGACAGAGAAACACAGTGAGACACAGAGAGAGAGAGAGAGACAGGGAAACACAGTGAGACACAGAGAGAGAGAGAGAGAGAGAGAGACACAGAGAAACACAGACAGAGAGAGAGAGACACAGGGAAACACAGTGAGAAACAGAGAGAGAGAGACACACAGGGAAACACAGTGAGAAACAGGGAAACAGTGAGAAAGAGAGAGAGAGAGACAGGGAAAAAGTGAGAAACAGAGAGAGAGAGAGAGAGAGACAGGGAAACACAGAAACAGAGAGAGAGAGAGAGACAGGGAAACACAGTGAGAAACAGGGAAACAGTGAGAAACAGAGAGAGAGAGACAGGGAAACACAGAGAAACAGGGAAACAGTGAGAAACAGAGAGAGAGAGAGAGACAGGGAAACAGTGAGAAACAGAGAGACACACACAGGGAAACACAGTGAGACACAGGGAAACAGTGAGAAACAGAGAGAGAGAGAGAGACAGGGAAACAGAAAGACACAGCAGGACACTAACAGAAAGACACTGACGCAATGACACAGGGAGACACTGACACAGAGAGACACTGACACAGTGACAGAGAGAGACAGAGACACTGACACAGAGGCAGACGCTGACGTGGAGACACAGAGAGACACTGACAGAGAGAGAGGGAAACAGTGGGAAACAGTGGGGCACTGACACAGAGAGACACTGACACAGAAAGAAAGAGAGACACTGATTCAGAGAGACACTGACAGAGAGACACTGATACAGTGAGACAGACAGAGGGGGAAACAGAGACACTGGCACAGAGAGACAGAGAGACACTGACATGGAGACAGACACTGAAGTGGAGATCCTGACACAGAGACGGAGACCCTGACAGAGAAAGACAATGACTCAGGGGCACAGAGAGACAGGGACAGAGAAACGCTGACAGAGACAGACTCGGATACACAGAGAGACAGCGAGACACTGGCACAGAGAGACAGGGACACAGTGACAGAGAGACACTGCCACGGAGAGATACTGACAGAGAGAGACACTGACAGAGAGACACTGCCACAGAGAGATACTGACAGAGAGACAGCGAAATGCTGACAGAGAGACACTGACAGAGAGAGAGAGAGAGAGACACAGTGACACAGAAAGACACTGACACGATGGAACACTGCTCCGCATTAACCCACATGAGTTAGAGTAGGCCATTCAGTCCCATCAGGAGCAGGGGTGGGGCCTTTGGCCCATCCAGTCTGCTCCACCATCCAATGGCTGATTTGATCCTCCTCATCTCCCACCCTCCTGCCTTTTGCCCCTGGTTTCCACTTCGTGATTAAAAACCTCTCTCTCTCTCTGTATCTTAGCCATGAATACCCTCAATGCCCCAGCCCTGACAGCCCGCCTCCTCCCTGCGGTAAAGAATCCCACAGACTCCCTCACCCCTCACAGAGAAGGAATTCCTCCCCATCTCTGTCTTCAACAGGTGACCCCCTTATTCTGAGATGATGCCCCTCTGGGTCCTAGACTCTCCCACACAAGGAGGTGGGGGGGGGAAGACACCCTCTCCATATCTCCCCCTGTCAGGTCCTCCCCCCACCCAGGATCTTGCACATTTCAATCGACTCGCCTCTCATTCTCCTAAACCCCAACGGGTACAGTCCCCAACCAACTCAACCGCCCCCTCCCTCATCAGACAGTCCCTCCGTCCCCGGGATCAGCTGAGCGAACCCTCTCTGGGCTGTCTCCGATGCCCAGTATATCTCTGCTTGGATACGGGGCCCCAAAACCATTTGCCATATTCCAGCTGGGGCCTGATACAGTTTAAGTGAAACCTCCGGGATTTTATACTACATTCTCTGTGAAATAATGTTCCATTCGCCTTCCCCACTCCCCGCTGAACTGGATCACCAGCTTCTTGTGATTGATGGACGAGGACATTCCCCAATCCTACTGCGCTGCGGCTTTCTCCAGTCTTTCCCGATTCAATTAATACTTAGCTCTTCTGTTCTTCCTTCCAAAGTGCAGTGTTATGGAGGGGGGGAATAGCTGAACCCCTCTGATAATAAAACTAAAACACAAGCCCCAATCTGTTATGATGGGGGTAGGGGTCCCCTCTAATAATTACCCCTCCCCGAAACAACCAGAAAAGCTCATCTTTTCCCTCGTGACCTGTTTAACGAGTGGTTAAGACAATCCCTGATCCCCACTTTACAAGTAACAAGAAACAATTTATTTATTTAACCCAACAATGAACAAAATAAGAGTTACCAACAAGCCAACAATTCCCCCCAGACTACTAACTACTCCCTAAATGAACTAAATTCTACTGGAATACTGTTCATTTAAAGACTTGTATAAAACCAATTAATAAGCCCACAACAAAAAAAAACTTAAATCTTTCCAAATTTCTGCAAGTGCCTTCCAGAAAGCTCCATCTGATCCCCCCCCCACCACCGATTTTCAAAAAATGCTCTCATCTTTAGACCTGCAATGACAAAATTAGTATTTCTTATGTAGGATTGCTCCAACATTGTCAACACCATCAGATTTAAATTCAGTTGGCTTTCTGTGTCGAGGTGCTTGGTTTAAATTAATTGGCCAAATTCAAACATGTCATCTTGGTAAAAATTGCTGCTTGGCTGTTCGATAGAAAAATGTTTCCATTCTGGCTCTCTCTGTGCACAGAACTTGCAAACTTCCAAGCACAGAGAAGGCACTTCTTTCCCCACGATCATTTTTAATCAACAAATTCTAACTTCCTGCCTTCCGATTCACAAGTACGCAACACAACTCCGTAACAGCGGAACCTCACATTTCTTAATATTGCATTCCAGCTTCCAGGAAATGAGTTTGCAGCAACGGTTTTTAAAAGCAGAGATAAGAAACAGGGTTTATGGCTGAACTGTTGGAAAGCAGACCCGGAGAAAACCTTAGACCTGTGCCGATGCTTGCCTAGCAACAGCCTCTGAACTAAAGCTGTTTGTCAAGGGCAAGTGCGGGCCAACATGCCATTCGCCTTCGCTATGACCCACTGAGGTTGGACACTAGTTTTCTGTCATTCATGAACAAGGATACACACAGACATATAACATTACTCGGTATTTTGCCAAGGAAGAGGTTGATCTGTTTAATAAACTCATATTTCTGTGTACAATAGATCCACATAAACGTTTGATGTTCATTTGTAAAATTCATAGAAACTCATTCAAATGTAACTTGCTGACTTGACTTTGACCATTTCAGTCTCACTCACACCTTGTATTGACCTGGGTGAAAATTTGTGCTGCCTTGTCTAAATAAATTGGCATTTCGGTGACTCAGACCAGGGCAAGTCTTAGGCAGAACACAGGGACCTAGGAGTGAAGGTGCATAGTTCCTTGAAAGTAGAGTCGCAGGTAGACAGGGCGGTGAAGAAGGTGTTTGGTACGGTTGCCTTCAGTGCGTCGAGTATAGGAGTTGGGAGGGTCATGTTGTGGCTGTACAGGGCATTGGTTAGGGCCACTTTTGGAATACTGCGTTCAGTTCTGGTTTCCCTGCTATAGAAAGGATGTTGTGAAGCTTGAAAGGGTTCAGAAAAGATTTACAAAGATGTTGCCAGGTGGAAGGAGTTGACTTACAAGGAGACGCTGAATAGGCTGGGGCTATTTTCCCTGAAGCGTCGGAGGCTGAGGGAGTGACCTTACAGGGTTATGTAAAATCATGAGGGTCATGGATAGGGTGAAAAGACAAGGTCTTTTCCCCCCAGGGTAAGGGACTCCCAAACCAGAGGGGCATAGGTTTAAGGTGAGAGGGGAAAAGGGACCTGCGGGGTAACCTTTTCACACTGAGGGTGGTGCGTGTATGGAATGAGCTGCCAGAGGAAGTGGGTGGGGGCTGGTACAATTATAACATTTAAGAGGCATCTGGATGGGGACATGGGTAGGAAGGGTTTAGAGGGATATGGGCCCAATGCTGGCAAATGGGACGAGATTAATTTAGGATATTTGGTTGACACAGACGAGTTGGACCGGAGGGCATACACCCGTGCTACGTGACTCCCAGATCCCTCTGCGCTGCGGCTATCCCCGTTTTAAATAATAGTCAGCTCCTCTGTTCTTCCTGCCGAAGTGCAGAATCTCGCATTCCTGAACCTTAAGACTGTTTCGTCATTAAACGTCCCAAGGGGTTTTATTGGCGAGGAGTCGATACAGATTCGAGTCCTGCCCCTCCCCCTCGCTGGACGAAGGTATCAGAGCAGGGGTGCGGAACATAAAATATATTTCGAAACGGTCTCGGGGCACTGTTAGCAGACAGCTCTCTCTCGCTTGGCATTCCAGGAGAGGGCCCTTTAGTCCCTCCAAGTGACCTCCACCTCGTCTGTCCTGAACCTGGCCGTAAAGAACAAGAGGAAGCCTCGTGAAACGTGGATCAAATCAGATGGCGCTGGGTCGGGAACGCGGACGACGGGATTTGGGTGTCCCCGCTACGCCAGCCACCGACAGTCAGTGTTGCAAATGGGTGATGTTGGAAGCCAATCGGGGATGTGGGAGCTCAGTGACCAGAGGATTGGAGAGCAGGAACAGCGGTTGTGATGGGGGGAGACCGAACCCCCCCCCCCCCCCCCCCCCCCCCCCCACCTTTGCGGGATTGTGCGCATGTGCGTGGTGTGGGGGCCCACCCCCCCCCTCCCCCGTATCTGAAGGGAAGTTGCTTCTGGCTACTGAGGGAGTGCAGCGAAGACGGATTCCCCCCCGCGACGGCAGGCCTGGGAGACGGATTGGGACCAGACAGGGGTCAACACAAGACAGACGTCCCCGATGACCAGGGTTGGGGGGTTGGATTTCCACGTGCACCACCAAGAGTGGCTCGGCAGCGGTGCTACTGATCGAGCTGGTCAGGTCCTAAAGGACGTAGCTGCTAGACTGGGTCTGCAGCAGGTGGTGAGGGAACCAACAAGAGGGAAAAACATACTTGACCCTCACCCTCCCCAATCTGCCAGCTGCAGATGTATCTGTCCGTGACAGTATCGGAGAGAGTGACCATCACACAGTCCTTGTGGAGACAAAGTCCCGCCTTCACATTGGGAACAACCTCCATCGTGTTGTGTGGCACTATCACCGTGCTAAATGGGGCAGGCTTCGCGCAGATCTAGCAACACAAGAGTGGGCATCCATGGGGCGCTGTGGGCCATCAACAGCAACAGAATTGTACTCCAACACAATCTGTAACCTCATGGCCCGGCATATCCCCCACTCAACCATTACCATCAGGCCAGGGGATCCACCCTGGTTCAATGGGCAGTGAAGGTGGTGTTTGGTACGCTTGGCTTTATTGGTCAGTGCATTGAGTACAGGAGTCGGGAGGGTCATGTTGTGGCTGTACAGGACATTGGTTAGGGCCGCTTTGGGAATACTGCGTTCAGTTCCGGTCTTCCTGCTATAGGGAGGATGTTGTGAAACTTGAAAGGGTTCAGAAAAGATTTACAAGGATGTTGGAGGGTTTGAGCTACGGGGAGAGGCTGGGGCTGTTTTCCCTGGAGCGTCGGAGGCTGAGGGGGTGACCTTATAGAGGCGTATAAAATCATGAGGGGCATGGATAGGGTAAATAGACAAGGTCTTTTCCCCCAGGGTTGAGGGGCATAGGTTTAAGATGAGAGAGGAAAGATTTAAAAGGGACCTGAGGGGTAACTTTTTCACACAGAGGGTGGTGCGTGTATGGAATGAGCTGCCAGACGAAGTGGGTGGGGGCTGGTACAGTTACAGCATTTAAAAAGCATCTGGATGGGGACATGGATAGGAAGCGTTTAGAGGGATATGGACCAAATGCTGGCAAATGGGGCTGGATTAATTTAGGATATCTGGGTCAGCACGGATGGGTTGGGCCGAAGGGTCTGTTTTAGTGCTGTACAGCTCTCAGACTCTGTACCTCTGTGTGATCCAGGAATCCTCCAGAGGTGTCACATGCCCTGCTCGGAACATCTCCCATCCAGCGTGGGCTATCATCGCTCCATTATCAATGCAGAATCTGTGAATGGGGAGAGCTAGGGTCAGCTGTGCTGTCACTCACAACCAGACTCTTACAAACAGTTCACATGGTCACACCGTTATAAATAAACACACACACACACATGGAACACACAAAGGCACACACCTACAGACATACACACAGACAGATGGTGGGGGGGAGAGAAAGAGAGCGCGAGCGGGGGGGGGGGGGGGGGAGGGGGGAGAGGGAGAGAGAGAGAGAGAGAGAGAGAGAGAGAGAGAGAGAGAAGGAAGGGGAGAAAGAGAGATGCACAGAGAGACATGGACACATGGGGACACGGAACACACAGGCACACACAGATAGAGGCAGACGGAGAGGGGGAGGGAGAGACATACACAGACATAGTGATACAGACAGACACACAGCCACCCCTCCACCTCCCCACTCCCACACACACACACATACATACAGATATACAGACACACGCAGACATACACGTACACAGACACACACACAAACAGAAAAACATATGGAGACACACACAGACCTCAGACACTCACACACAGACACAGACTTCAGATGGACAGATGTAGGGAGCGCGCGCGACACAGACAGAGACAACACACAGACACAGAAACTAGAAAGAGGAACAGGCCATTCGACCCCTCGATACTGCTGCCCTATTCAATAGGATCGGGGCTGATCCAACATTCCCCACGCCCACTTTCCCCGTGACCCTCGAGTCCCCGACTGATCAGGAATATCTCTGTCTCAGCCTTCAGTACCCACAGGGTCTCTGGCCCCCCCCACACATAGCTCTCAGAGGCAAGGAGTTCCCAAGACCCACAGAAACCCTGGGAGAGAAGAAATTCCTCCTTATCTCAGTCTGAAATTGGCACCCCCTTTGTTCTCAGACTGTGCCCCTCTGGCCCTAGACCGCTCCCCCACCCCCCCTCTCCACCCTGAGAGGGGATGGGGAAGCATCCTCCCAGTGTTGACCCTGTCGGGCTCCTGTATGTTTCACCTCTCGTTCTCCTAAACCCCAGCGAGGAGGCTCCTAGCCTATCTAACCCCTGCTCGTGAGACAGTCCCTCGGTACCCGGGGATCATCCCAGTGAACCGTCCCTGAGCCGCGCAACCCCCCCCCCCCCCACAACGAAACGATATCTTTCCCTTAAATAAGGGTGAAGCGAGACTGCTCGCAGCACTCCAGCTGTGCTCTCCCCCCAGCAGCCTGTAGAGTTGTAGTCAGACTCCCCTGACCCTTATATACTCCAATACCACCACCCCCCTTAAAATAAGGGCCTATGTTCCATTTCCATTCCCGATTCCCTGCTGTCACCCCTCCGGGTACTAGCTTGCTGCGTTCCACGCGCAATCTTGATCGATTGGGTCAATGGGCTGAGGAGTGGTAGACGGAGATAATTTGGATAATTGCAAGGTATTGGAATTTGGTAAAACAAACAAGGGCAGGACTTATACAATTACAAATAGGGCCCTGGATGGTGCTGTAGGACAGAGGGACTTGGGGTTCAGGTAGATAATTGTTTGAAGTCTGTGTCACAGGTAGACAGGGCGGGTAAGGAGGTGTTTAACACACTTTCCCTTCATCGCTCAGACCCTTTGAGTATCGGAGTTGGGGACGTCATGTTGAGGTTGTACAGGGATGTTTGGTGAGGCCTCTTCTGGAGAACTGTGTCCAGTTCTGGTCGTCCCCCCGTTATGGGAAGGACATTATTAAACTAGTGAGGGTTCGGGAGAGATTTACCAGGATGTTGCCACTAACAGAGGGCTTGAGCTACAAGGAAAGGCTCGGGCTACTTTCCCTGGAGCGTCGGATTCTGAGGGGTGACCTTAGAGAGGTTGGTAAAAGGATGAGGGGCATAGGTAAGGTGAATGTCGGGTGTACTTTACCCAGGTTGGGGGATTTCAAGACTAGGGGGCATATTTTTAAGGTGAGAGGAGAAGGATTTAGAAAGGACCTGAGGGGCAAATTTTTTTTTAAACACAGTTAATCATGTGTGGACCAAACTTCCTGAGGAAGTGGTGGGTGCAGGTACAGTTACAATGTTTAAAAAACATTCGGATAAGTACGTGGATAGGAAAGGTTTGGAGGGATATGGGCTGGGAGCAGGCAGATGGGACCGGTTTAGTTTGGGATTATGGGTCAGCACAGACTGATTGGGCCGAAGGGTCTGTTTCTGTGCTGTACGACATTACCCTCCCAGGCAGTGTGTTCCAGATTCCCCGGGGGGGGGGGAAAGACCTTGGCTATTTACCCTATCCATGCCCCTCATGATTTTATACACCTCTATAAGGTCACCCCCTCAGCCTCCGACGCTCCGGGGAAAACAGCCCCAGCCTCTCCCCGTAGCTCAAACCCTCCAACATCCTTGTAAATCTTTTCTGAACCCTTTCAAGTTTCACAACATCCTTCCTACAGTAGGGTGACCAGAATTGAACTATTGCAGAAAACACGGAGGCATGGGATTGAGGGTGATTTAGCGGTTTGGATCAGAAATTGGCTAGCTGTAAGAAGACAGAGGGTGGTGGTTGATGGGAAATGTTCATCCTGGAGTTCAGTTACTAGTGGTGTACCTCAAGGATCTGTTTTGGGGCCACTGCTGTTTGTCATTTTTATAAATGACCTGGATGAGGGCGTAGAAGGATGGGTTAGTAAATTTGCGGATGACACCAAAGTCGGTGGAGTTGTGGATAGTGCAGAAGGATGTTGTAGGTTACAGAGGGACATAGATAAGCTGCAGAGCTGGGCTGAGAGGTGGCAAATGGAGTTTAATGCGGAAAAGTGTGAGGTGATTCACTTTGGAAGGAGTAACAGGAATACAGAGTACTGGGCTAATGGTAAGATTCTTGGTAGTGTGGATGAGCAGAAAGATCTCGGTGTCCATGTGCATAGATCACTGAAAGTTGCCACCCAGGTTGATAGCGTTGTTAAGAAGGCTAACAGTATGTTACGTTTTATTGGTAGAGGGATTGAGTTTCGGAGCCATGAGGTCATGTTGCAGCTGTACAAAACTCTGGTGCGGCCGCACTTGGAGTATTGCGTACAGTTCTGGTCACCGCATTATAGGAAGGATGTGGAAGCATTGGAAAGGGTGCAGAGGAGATTTACCAGGATGTTGCCTGGTATGGAGGGAAGGTCTTATGAGGAAAGGCTGAGGGTTTTGAGGCTGTTTTCGTTAGAGAGAAGAAGGTTAAGAGGTGACTTCATAGAGACATACAAGATCATCAGAGGATTAGATAGGGTGGACAGTGGGAGCCTTTTTCCTCGGATGGTGATGGCTAGCACGAGGGGACATAGCTTTAAATTGAGGGGTGATAGATATAGGACAGATGTCAGAGGTAGGTTCTTTACTCAGAGAGTAGTAAGGGCGTGGAATGCCCTGCCTGCAAAAGTAGAAGACTCGCCCACTTTAAGGGCATTTAAATGGTCATTGGATAAACATATGGATGATAATGGAATAGTGTAGGTTAGATGGGCTTCAGATTGGTTTCACAGGTCGGCGCAACATCGAGGGCCGAAGGGCCTGTACTGCGCTGTAATGTTCTATGTTCTATGTAGTATTCCAAAAGTGGCCCTAACCAATACAGTCGCAACATGACCCTCCCAACTCCTAAACTCAATGCATTGACCAATAAAGGCAAGCGTACCAAATGCCTTCCTCACCGCCCCATCTATCTGCGACTCCACTTTCAAGAAACTATGTACCTGCTCCCCGCCAAGGTCTCTGTGTACAGCGACACTCCCCAGGACCTTACCATTAAGTGTATAAGCCCTGCCCTGATGCCCCTTTCCAAAATGCAGCGTCTCACGCTGATCTAAATCAAACTCCATCTGCCACTCCTCGGCTCATCTGATTGAGGTCCTGTTGCACTCCGAGGGTAACCTCCTTCCCTGGCCACTACCCCTCCAATTTCGGTGCCATCTGCAAACTCACTAACCGTCCCTAAAAGGTGTCTCTATGTTTCGGGGACACTCCCCAGGACCCTAACAATTTTTCTCTGCGTAAGTAAAACGTCGTTTCTGTTGTCTGCCCTTTCAAAATGAGCAGTTTTCCCCCCCACATTGTAATCCTTCGAGGGGGAGGTCCAATGGGTTTGGGGGAACGAGATGGTCGGGGGGGGAGGCTGAAAACGAGGGAACTGAGCTGGCCATTTTATTGGAGGGCGGAGCGGGCCCAAGATGCTGAAGGGCCTGCTGCTGCTATCCCCTGGCGAAGGCCGTATGGGGACTGACCTCTCATCTGTTGCGAAAAGTTTGGCTCCTCGGGCCTCGCACATCGATGCCATCATCTGCTGCAGCCGGAGGTTACCTGGGCGACAGACGACAAGTCGGCCAAAGTCGGGGAACGACCCCACCTCCTCCCACCACCACCAACACCCGGCACCCACCTTCCACCCCCTCAGAGCTGGGAAACAGCTCGCCGACCCCTCCGCAGTGCCCCCCACCCCGTGCCACAGGCAAATCCCCTC